GAGAACTGAAAAGAATAAATAAAAATATATAAAAGAAAAATAAATAAGAAAAAACAAGTAAAATAAATTAATCCAAATAAATAAACAAATTAACAAAGCGCTTCCGCCAAAATACCCGTGGGAATAAATAAAAATAAATAATAAATAAGCAAAACAAGTAAAAATAATCAATCCAAATAAATAAATAAATAAAATAATAAACAAATTAACAAACCACTCCCGCCAAAATAACAGTTAGATTAGACTATAATGCACCACTGACCCGTATATATAAATAGTCGAGAAAACAAAACAAAACATGTGGCCTGACGATTGCGTCTAGCATGAAACAGTCTGTCACCTCTTAGTGTTGATTTCAATGTTCACTTATATATATTTATATATATATCCACAGACAGACTGTTTCACAGCTCATCAGTGTCACTAGAGATCCGATTGCCTCGAGCCGGGATAGAAAGTCGGAGATTTTACCCCTAAGCACAACAGCGATGAAGGTGAATTTCGGCGTATTTATTTTTAGAAAAACACACCAGTAACCGTCTTATATATATCATAGGCTGAACCAGTTGCTCAAATATGTCATCTCCCATTATTTACAGCATTGGCTAGGCTCGACGCTGATTAACTATGGTAATCGAACAAGAACCGCCAACTTCAATTTCCTCTGATGTAATATATATATATATATATATATATATATATATATATATATATAACAAAAAGAGCTCAATGTATTTATTATTACAGAGCAAAAATTAATATACAATAAAATACAGAATCACCTCATATGGGGAATAAACTTATTTAGACAGACGAAAATATAATTCGTCTGTCTTATCAACACTGGTATAAACTGAGATCGTGTCGGAAATATAAATTTAACTGTGAAAGCTACAAAAAGAAAAAAAAGAAAAGAAAGAAACAATAATCGGAAAACTTTTACAGAATTTATCCATTTCAATGTTTCAGTCAGACGAAAGGTACAAGACAGCGACCAGGGGAGGGTTGAAGGTATTTGTATTAAAGGGAATAGGTTTTATAAAATCAAACCAGGATATTAACCTTAACATTAAACTGGGTTATATGAAGAATGAAATATTAATGTTAAACTAAGAAAGGAATAGAAAGGGTATTATAAAACTTTAAAAAAATATAGAAAGTCATATTTAAAAATGCAAAATCACACTTAAAAATACAGTCATATTCAAAAACAAGTAATATTTAAAAAAATATATATTTAAATAATTTATATTTAAAAATAAAGTAAATCATATTTAAAAATAAGTTATATTTAATATAAAATAAATAGGTTATATTTAAAATAGAAATATATTAAAAATAAAAAATATAATAAAGATAAAATAAATTACATATTTAAAAATAAATATATAATGAAATAAACTAAAATAAAATTATCTATTATAAATAAGTTATATCTAAAACAAGTTATATTTAAAAAATATAAAAATATAAAGTTATAATTAAAAATATAAAAAGTTATACTTAAAAATACAAAGTTATATTCAAAAACAACCTTAAAATCGATAAAGAGGTGTAAGTGATAAAAGGAAAGGGATGTTTTAGACAATGTATAAATTATAATAAATATAATGTAAAGATGGGAATATAGAAATTAGAATTAGATATACATTCGGCATTTCGCACTCTCCAGAAACTATGACTAAGGTCCGCTCAGCATAGTTGCGGTATAAGCAACGGGTGGGCTGAGCATGCGTCTGTAACAGGATCAGCCGCCCTTGTAGACGACCATTCTCGGATACAAGCGGCCAGCCATTTATATATATTAGGAAAATTAATGACAAAGTGAAAACAAATCTTTAGTGTGTTGCGTTTCGTCCTTTAGGACTTCACCGTAATGTGTTTGACCTTTATTTCGATTTTAAAAAATGCAACTTTAACTAACAGAGAAAGTAATTTAATAAGCTAACAAATGGACACGGTACCCCAAAAAAGAAGTAAACATGTTCTATAAGTAAATGTTTCGGAATAAACGCATTTTCTTTTATTAGAACTTTTATCTCGTACCATAAAGTTATGAGTTAGGAAATGCTTTCCTCCTTTAAACAAAAGAAGTAAAAAGATAATCTCTGAAGAAAGATTAAACAAAAGATAAGAAATAAAATGAATATGCTAGCCGCTTGTTTCTCAGATTTACACTTAAGATGTTTAGTTATTACAGTCGAATATAACTAACGTCTGCACGTAATTAGGCGAGACTCTACACGACCGACAAATATATAAATAAATCCACATCGTGTTTTATATTACAGAATTGACTATTTATATTAAGCAGAAGCATCTGAAAGGGACCCTAGTCTTAAATGAAGCAACATGATGACAGAATGCAACCGACATTATAATAACGATGTAAATGCTAGAGGAAAAGGTAAAAGGAAAGTGAGCCATGCTAATATGAAAGCGAAACCAGACGACATTTTGCCTGCAAAATTCTACTGTGATAGTCTTCGTAATTGGTGGT